TTCTGGGAGTTGAAGTCCACTCATCTTAAAGTGGCCAAGTTTGGACAACACTGATGTAGGCCAACTCACTGCCCAGGGTAGATGTACACTACTATAGGATCCCCAGCAGTGACCAACTAGCCTCTGTTCAGATACTTCTGAAGAATGAGAGTTCGCTACCACTCAGAGTAGTGTGTTCTACTATTGAACTTCCCTTTCTATTAGGAATTATTCCATTTGTCCAAGCAAAAATATCTTCTCATTGCATCTTGTCTTGTCTTCCAGAACAACACTGAACAAGTCCATCCCATCTCGATAGCCTTCAGAAACTTGAAGATAGCTACAATGTCTGCCTGTAATCTTCAGATTACACATATTCAGCACCTCCAACTGTTTCTCATAAGTTTTTCCGTCCAGGTGCCTTATCAGCCCAGTTGCACTTCTCTAGACCCACTCTAGTTTGTCAAGGTCTTTTTTAAAATCCAATGTTTTAATAATATTTTAGCTATGATGTGAACAAAGCAGAATACAGATGGATGGCGATTCTTCGTGATTTTGACACTGTATTTCTGTTGCTAAAATCTAGGATGGAATCTCTCTTTTTTTTTTTAGCAGCTGCATCACACTCTGGGCTCATGTTCAGTTTATGATCCATCAAGACCCCCAGATCCTTTTTGCATGTACTGCTGCCCAGAATACTCTCCCCTATCCTGACTCATGCCTTTGATTTTTCTTACCCAAATGAATGGTTTTGCATTAGTCCCTATTAAAATTTATCTTGCTGGTTTCTGTCAAATCCTGGCTTGCCAAGATTTTCTTGATTGATACCATCCTTGAAAGTATTTGCTATCCTTTTTATCTTTGTGTTATCCACAAATTTCACAATAAAATATTCCAACCCCTCATCCAAGTAATTTATAAACATGCTGAATAGTACAGGACCCAAAATGATCCAGTCAGAAACTTTGCCCAGTCAAGGTACACTATATCAACTGCATTCCCAAGGTCAACTAAACTGGTCACTCTATAAGAAAAAGGAAATCAGCTTGGTTTGCCATTCTCACTCCTGCCAAACAATGAATTATTCTCTAAATGCTTGCAAACTGCTTGGTTTATTCTTTCCAAAGTTTTGCTCAGTATTTGTGCCCAATGATCAGTCTGTAATTATCGCCATCATCTCCCCTACCCCTTGTGAAGACAGGAATAACATTTGCCCTTGTTTAATCCTTTGGCACTATGTTTTCTTCCATGATTGTGCAAGATCACAGAAAGGATCCACAAGCTTCTTTTAAGACTCTTGGATATAAATGGTCTGACCCTGGAGATTTCATTCATTCATGGTAACCAGGTGTTTACACTGGGTTATCACTACCTCCTTATGTCAGTTGTTATGTTTAGATCCATTTGAACGCTGTTTCCCCTCTGGGGAGAAGACGGAAGCCAAGCAGAAGTGGAGGAACTCTGCCCTCTCTCCATCATCTGCTACTATCCTATCATCTCCTTCAAGCAGCAGGTGTACCTGTTCCTCTTTCTTCCTTTTATTACTGAAGTAACCCCAACCCCTTTTTTTGCTTTTAGTTTCCATTGCAAGCCTAAATTCCTTTTTGCTTTAGCCTGAGTTTTGTTTTTAATAGATATTAACTACTTGATCGTATACCTCCTTGATGAGTATAATCACATTCTGTTTCTTAAACATGTCTCTCTTAATTCTTATCTTGGTTGAAAGCTTTCTATGGATCCATTACCATTTCCTAAGATGCCCCCATATTTTATTCTCATAGGAACAGTGTGTGATTATACTTCTAGTATCTTATGTTGGAGAAGTTCCCAACTCCCTATGCTCCCTTTGACCTGAGGATTTCTGCCCATGGGATCCCATCTAGCAACAAACTGGTGATGTTATACAGAATCCGTAAAATAAACTATCATTATTACAAATATAAGTCTGACAGCTTGCTGCTTTCTCTCATTCTTATTCTTCTTCAAAAACATTACAATCTGAATGTAGCAGAACACCATTAAAACACATGGAATGGCTAGGCCCAAAATGAACATCATAAATGTAGAGCTTGCTTCCATTCATTTTCCTTTCCTTTAGGATAGTGAAGGTTGCAGGTACAGTTCTTATGTTGCTCTTGAACTTGGTAAACAATTAATTGTGGCATGGAGATTAATAATGCCATACTCCAAGTGGTGACACTCAAAAGAATGCCATAAAGAACTGTTTGAGCTTTCAGAGCAAACACAGTATGCACCATTGCCAAGTACCGATCAATTGTCAATAGGACGGTAAAAAAGCTTCCACTGTAAAAGCCTGAAAAATAGATTCCAGAAAGTATTTTACAGAGTGCACCTCCCAATATTCAGCAATGTGTTGCTTCATAATCCCAA